CTTAAGATAGTGCCCATTAGGACATTATGCTATGTAAGATATGCCTGTTCTATCATATTCATGTTTTTAAACCTCTATGTAATAAATTCTCACTGCTGTCAGGTCAGAATGCAGCAGAGCTGACCCTCCAGTGGGTTTTCAGGGGGCTTAGAGTCCCGTGAGAGAAGACTGCCCATTTTTCTCCTGCGGAGCTGCTGCTGATTCCAGCTGCCTTTGGGTTAGCCATGCAGCTCTTGTGACTACATCATCTGTGCACCTGCATCACCAGCACTCTCTATATGATCAATAATAACTCATATTTGGCAGGATATCTATTTAGCCTACATGCTCATATTTGTGTCCAACAGGATGTCACAGTATTTACAGCTCTATCATTACACTTTCATTTCCCTGGGGAAGTAGTACACCCTGCTCCCACACTTTTTGGATGAGGACTGCATCCTGCTCCTACTCTTGTAAAATGGAAAAACCTCAGGAAAAGTCAATGTTAAGTTGTTGTTATATTCACATGGATGTGGTCACAGAGATGTAAAGGAAGTGCCACATCTAAACAACAAGGCAGATGAGAAGATCAGGTTTAGTCAAAGGACAGAAAGGACGGGACGCTGCAAAGGGAAATTCAGAGCTCCTATGGATTACTATGGGAGCTCTGGTGACCTAGTGGTAAGGAGCTGTGCTGCATTCTCAAAGGCAAGCAGTTCAAATCCACCAGATGCTTCGCAGGAGAAAGATGGGCAATCTTCTGTGTACTGAAGCTGCTTTTGAAAACCTGCGGCAAAGTCAGCTATGGGTCAGTTCTGATTCAATGACACACAAAAACAACAACATTGACCTATTATGAGTTGTACTGTGACTCCCATGGACCTCTCCACACACCCCTTGGCCGCTAATAAAAGTTCAATGTTCCGAACTTCCTAATGCCCAGTACCCTTGTTGTTGCTGTTGTTATGTGCCATCGAGTTGCTTGCAACTCATAGCGACCCTATGTACAAGAGCCCTAAACACCATTCTATCCTGTGCCAACCTCGCCGTCTCCGACACACTCATTCCTTCCACTCCAATCACAGAATCGATCCATCTCATCGAGGGTCTTCCTCTCCTGCACTGTCCCTCCACTCTCCCAAATATGATGTCCCTCTCCAAGGACCAGTACCCCTGAATGTCCATTTATTTGGAACTTGGGTCTTCTCAAACATAAGTTAAAATGTGATCACACGAGGCAGTTCCCCAGTGACTGGCATTGCTGTGAGAAGAGGAGAAGACACACACAGAGCAGAAGGCCATGTGATGATGCTCATCACCAGAGGCTAAAAAGAGATTCTCCAGTAGGACCTTCAGAGAATACAGTCCTGCTGACGCTCGGCATTTGGAATTAGGTGACCTCCAGAACTGTGAGAGGAGATTTTTGTTGGTTTAAGTCACTCAGTTTGTGGTACTTTGTTACAATGGTCCTAGGAAACTAATACAGGGCCCATATAAGACTTCCATATCTCAGATAACCCTCCCTCGGACAAGCATCCATGTCATGCTAGGAATGGCATCACCTCTCCTTACTGCCCTCAGAATAGACAGGCCAACCATCTATCCTAATTACTACTTTATCTGAGAGGACAATAGAAAGACCCTGCCAGCCTCACTCAGGGTCATGGAGGAATCGAATCGGCCTCACATTCAGTTTCTGAAGAACCTCGTGTGTGGGCTTGCTCTGCCATTCAGTCATGGTGATATCTGGCTGCTGCTCCAGTTTAGGGGCACTGGGGGTGCTGCTCTGCCTCTTGACCTTCGAATGTTTGGGAAGTTCTATTTCTTCAAAACTCTTAAATTCCGGAAGTCTGGAATGAAAAGAAAAATATGTTTAAATGTTCACCACAAGAAACACAGCACATAGGTAGCACAAAGGTACTCACTCTTCTGTGTCACTAATTCGTAGGAAGTCAAGTTGTTCGAGTACAGCTCCAGATATTAGTGTCTGAAACATAAGTCAGAAGAGTCAAAACTCTTAAATTTTTTGTTGTTGTTATGTGATGTTGAGTCAGAAATGAATGACAGATGACCATCCAACTGGTTTTTGGAGGCAGGAAACTGCATGGAAGGAAACTGCCCATCTTTCTCCCATGGAGCTGGTAGATTCGAACCACCCATCTTTGAGTTGACAGCACAACTCTTTAGTCACTATGCTACCACAGCTCCCTTCTTAAATTTAGCAAGGCATATTGGGATCTCTGTAAGTATATTATTCTTCAAAAAATTAACCTAAAAATACAACTTTTAAATAATTTCTAAAATGAGCATATTCATTCAATAAACAGGTTTTCACAAGCAACAAAATACTCTATAAAAGAAAATATACACTAGCTCCAATTTCATGCATCATAATACTTGGGAAAACACACATGAGATAAACTCTATTTTCTGTATGTTCTTAGAATTGTGGCCAGTAACTATGAGGCTGGAATTAAAACTCCATGCATGTTTCATATACTTTGGGCATGTTACCAGGAGGGACCAGTTCTCGGAGAACACAGGATGCTTGGAAGGGTGGAGGGAGAACGGAGGAGACGGAGCCCCCAGAAGAGATGGACTGACAGTAACTGGGGTCATGGATGCAGGTGTGTCTGAGGCAGTGAGATTAGGTCACCAAAGGGCAGGGTTCAGAGTTATTGTGAATCGGGTCACTATGAGTTACAGTTGGCTTGACAGCATATAACAACAACAACAACAACAACTACCTGTTAAAATGTTAAACAATATTATTTTTAAATTAAAAAAACCCAACATGAAATACTTAAATCATATTTTGGAGAAAGGTAGTGTGAAGTTGCACTTTGGATTTCACTATTGCAATGCATTTTCAGGCTATCAAATGATGGGATTTTTGCCAACCTTTCATTTCTCAGTATTGTGAACATGTTGATTATTCAACCCAATACGTCCTTGCCATGCTAACCTACAATGATTTTTTAGCATATGTAGAACTTCTAATTATCTGTCAAGAGAATACTGAACATGATACTATAATGAAAGAAACCATTAATTATTATTTCTAAAAGTAAATCAACCGCTCAACAAATGCTGTCTAGCATTTGCTTATGTTGTGCACTGCTGATGGCTAACTACAAACACAAAGCAATATAGTGTAAAGGAAGGTTGTTCCTGACGGCTGACAACCCAGAGCCACGGTGCCGCCTTCCTCTCAAGGGCTCATGTGGTGCTGGAGTTGGTTCTGACTCACAGCAACCTTATGCAGAACAGAATGGTGCACTATGCATACAAGCATTCATATGCATTATGTTTCTTGCATGTACATTGTGTTTTATGTAATCTTTTTTTGTGTGTTCATGTACATTGTGTTTTAACAATCATTTACATATACTGTATTTTATATAATCTATTGCAACAATGTCAGTCTGAAGACTAAGGTGCACCTGATCCAGGCCATGGTCTTTGCAATCACTTGCTATGCATCAGAGAGCTGGACAATGACTAGAGATGAGAGAGAATTGATGCCTTTGAGCTGTGGTGCTGGAGAAGAGTATTGAATATACCATGGACTTCTAGGAGAACAGATAGGTTTGTCCTGGAGAGGGTAAAGCCAGGCTGCTCCTTGGAGGCAAGGATTCTGAAGCTTTATCTGACATATTTTGGACATGTTGTAAAGAGGGATCAGTCCTTGGAGAGGGACATCACGCTTGGGAGAGTGGAGGAACAACGCAGGAAAGGAAGACCCTCAATGAGATGGATTGATTCAGTGACTGGGGTAATGGGAGTAGGTGTGTCAGAGACAGTGCGATTGGCACAGGCTAGAGCAGGGTTTAGGGCTGTTGTACATAGGATCACTATGAGTCACAGGTGACTCAAGAGCACATAACAACAACATTGTATTTTATATAATCTATACAATCATTTACATTGATTTAGGCCTATTATCACCCCATTTTTTTCAAGCCTCCATTGCCTTGTTCCTATTTCTTCACCCCATCCACTTGCTAACCTCTGTTGTTCCAGTGATTTTCCTCCTTTCCCTTTTTCTGCTCCCCTTCTCCCTTCTGCTTCCCCTTTTGAACATTTATACACATCTTCCTCAGTTATCCCTCTATTTGCACAGTTACGGCCTTATGCATTATTTATCCTCAGGACATTGAGTTATTTCACTCAGCATAATGTCCTCTAGACTCTCCCATGCTATACAGTATTTTACAAAATCGTTGTTACTTAGTACCTTTTGTGTTATCTTTACGTCTACCTCACATGAAATGGGAATATTTCAAAACATGGCAGAATACCAAACTTTAAAGTAAAATTATTCTTAAACTTCTTTTTAGCACTGAAATAAAAATTTATCAACTTGTGGAGGCTGAAACAAAGTCTATCATTACAAACCAGAAATGGGACCTTGAAAGCATTTTAATTTCTTTCACAATTATAATCAATTATAATGAAATTTTTTTATGGCTTTACTTTTTACCTTAAATGATTTCATTTATCTGAAATATGTTTGGTGGATGTTACAAGGTAAGGTTGAACTGAATTTCTTTTTCCTAAATTATGTGCTAAGTACTTCATATAGTGCCATCTGTTCATTAAGCTTCCTGAATCATTATTTTTAGTTTTTATGTATATGTGCATATATCCAGAAGATATACAAAGAAACATAGACGAATCTATGAATTAAGTGCTCATAAAACAGAAACACAATGAAATTCAGAATACTACCTGTAGGCGATCAACATGGACTTTGACTCCTCCAACAACTCCTTTTTTAAAGGCTGCCAGCATATCTAATATGGGATTGAACCGACTGCCTCTAAAAAACAGATTGACAAAATGTGCATATAAATTGGAATAAGAAATTAATCTACTATTGACTTTAAGTGCCCTTTATATATTCACAACACTGTTCCACACACCAAGAGGGATATAAACACGCTCAGGACTTTGCTCTCTAAAAGTTTCATATGTAAATGGTGGAGAGATGTGTACAACAACTTCTTTCATTGGCTTACTTTATATTGTCTTCCCGGATGAGAACAAGGAAAAGTGGACGTCCATGCATTTTCCAGTATTGCTTAATGAACTGTAGTGCATTCTATCAAAATATAAGAATGAAACATTATGATGGTGCGGTATCTGAGCCGATAAATGTGCTCAAACATTAGTGATATACTGCCAACTCTCCCCTCTCTTATACCATAAAAAAACCCTCATATATGTAGTCTTGAGAGCATGACTGGGTTCTTAGAAATGGGTGTGATCTCTTCCTGTCAAGAACAAAGGAGGACAAAGAAAATGAAAAATGCACAGAAAGTAATTAGTCTCAAGGACTTATGGACCATAAAAATCTCAATCTAAGACCCTGAGACCAGAAATGGATGGTGGCTGGCTGACTGCTCTAAAAGACATGGCAGTGGAGAGTCTTGGACACATGGGGATAAAAATATAGAACAAAACTTAAAATCATAAAAATATTGCCATGCTTGCTGGTCTCCTGAGACTGTGACCTCTGGTCACCATTTGAACATGGAACTGGGCTCAGCCATGTGTTTCCACTTAAAGCAAAACAACGGGTTTATAAGGTGAGCAACAGCATTGGGATACTCACTCCTCAGGACAATAAGTCACACAAGAAGAAAGGGGAGAATGCTCAGTAGGTAGGAAGGCACGGCACAGAAAGCCAAGTGGAAGTGAGGATCATAGAGATGAAGAAAGAAAAGTGGAATACAATGTAGGGACTATAATCACTGCCATACAACAAAATCTGTACTAAAGACTGAGTGGAAAACAGATTTACACTCAGAGCAAAAGAAAAAGTTAAATAAATCCAAACCTTCATACATCAAGATTCATTTTACAATCAAACTGGCTAAAGCGATACGATAACCCAAGTATTCTACTCTAATGGCGTGTTTGGGTACGTGCAAGTTAAGCTAGGCGATTTTACTTCAAACTTTGTTCTTAAAAGTAGCATTACATGTTTTAAGGTTTGTTTTGTTTTTAATTAGTAAATACAGTTCAAGAATGGCCTTATGGCTCTCCCTTTCTTTCATATTATTTACGAATTGGAACTGACCCTTAACTGAGTCTCCACTGGATTTTTCAAGGCTCTATCTCTGTCCTGCAGAGCAGCTGCTGGATTTGAACCACCTGCCTTTGGACTGGCAGCACATCTCCTTATCCACTTGGCCACCAGAGCTCTCTTGGTACCAAGGTTATTTGTTTTTGTTAGGTGTCATCAACTCTGGTATGTGTCATACAGACCATCTGAACAAGAGACCTGAATCCTGTCCTATCCGGTGTCATCCTCATCATCTCTGATACATTTGACCCCACTGCTGCGTCACCGTTTTAATCTATCTCAGTCTCTTTCACTGACCCTTCACATTTCCAAACATGATATTCTTTTGCAAGGAATAGACTGTCCTAGCACCATGTCCAAATTATGAGAGATGGAGCTTCACTATCCTTCCCTCCAAGGAGCACTCTAGCTACATTTTTTTCCCCCAGACATATCTGTTCATACTCTTCTCTAACACAACTATTACTCAAATATATACACCAACAACTAAAGCCAAAGATGAAGAATTGAAGATGTCTATCAACTTCTGCAGCCTGAAACAGATCAAAGATGCAATCAAGATATAGTAATGATTATTGGCGATTAGGATACAAAAGTTGGAAACAGTGAAGAACAAAAACTTCAGGTTCCAAGGTTATCAACAAAAAAATTATTTTCACTCCACCTTAATGTGGATTTATAGTAGAGCAAGCAGAAGAAACTGGAATAAGTCTATGCAAATCATCAGAAGAAAATAGAATAAATCTATTCAACTAATCAGAAGAGAGGTGTTACCTACTAAACTAAATTTCTATCTTTATCACCCTCATCATCATTCTTACATAATACTTAACTATGTTCCAGGCACTGTTCTTAATGGTTTACATATATTCATTAATTTAATCTTCACAATAAGCCCAATTATTCAATTTTACTGAGTAGGCACAGAGACATGTAGGTATCTTGTCCAAAAACACGGAGGATAGAGTCAAGATTTAAACAAACACAGTCTGGATCCAGGTTCCATGATCTTGACTATGAGTCTACATCTCACTGCAAAGGGAAAGGAAGGAATCCTCCCTCACTGGGAGATATGAATTAGCTGAGCATTCACAGGACATACTTCATGACTAATTTTGCTAAGTCAGTTTTTGATCAAATGGAGATAGATATACTACTAAACTCTGTATGAATATGATTTCTGTGATACTTCTCTGCTTTTAAGCCTATATATTTTCATTCTATTTGTGGGAAGGGGTAACAATAAAAGTCATACAATGTTATATTCGACTTGTTCTTGTTGTGTACCAGAGAGTTGGATCTGACCCATAGCTGACTCCTCCAGCAGGTTTTCAGAGGCAGTTAATCACACAGGAGGAGAATGCCTATCCTTCTTGCACAGAGAAGCTGGTGGCCTCGAACTGTATGCCTTCGGATTGCAGTGCAACTTCCTGTCACTAGGCCACCAGAGCTCTCTAGTCCATGCATTACTCTAACTCTGTGAATAAGCTGACATCTGAAGGTACACAGAAGTGTTTTATGCTCATATCTCACACTATATAAACCCAGCATCACAGACACTAGGATCACACAATTTAACAGCATGATAAAACCAGAGGACACAAAGTCATCTCACTTCAATAAAAGTAGTTAGAAGTTACCTTTATGTCATCTATCAGTAGTAAAACATCTTGAGACATGTAGAAATCACTTAGGTCAAAGATGATGGGATAACAAACCACAGTCTTTCCCAGAATGCGATAAATCTGCAAAGGATAAATGTTTGTAACAATCAGAAAGCAAATATCAAAGGCAAAGATGATGTACTACAAATTCTAATAAGAATTAAACTAGTGTTTAATACTTAAATAAAATAGCTCGTGTATAGTCTACATAACACTAAGGGATTTTAAAGTTTCTTGATTGAATCAGCATGTCGTTTAATTCAAAGTCAATACAACTCAACTCATTGCTGGGGAGTTGGAACTGATTTATAGGTGACCTTCCAGTGAGTTTGCAAATGCTGTAAACTGCATGGGTGGAGAAAGCCCATCTTTCATCCTTGGAGCAGCTGATGGATTCAAACTGCCGGTCTTTGGGTTGGCAGTGCAACTCCTTACCACTGAGCTCCTTAAGTTAAAAGTGAAGTAAAATTTAAAGTAATTTAAGGTTAAAAAAAAAATTAAGGTAAATTTTCCTCTAGAATGATGGAAAAGGATTGTGCTTGAGTAAATATTGTTATAATCACGTTTTTTAAGAACATTGAAATAAGGTAACTGTGAGATGCTCATTTGTTCTAGAAGACTTCTGTGATACGGCACAAATCAGTAACAACATACACTTGTGTAATAACAAGTAATTAATTATAGAATATAATGAAATATGAGACTAGATGTGCAGCAGGTTAAATGCCATGTCAGTGTATAATATTAGAATATGAGTAATTCCGTACCTTTGATGTACCCAGGCAGCCAATGGGCCTGTCTGGCCTTCCCGAGAGACCTAACTTTTCATTTATACCCAGGTGGAAATAAGCCTGTAAGACAGAAATATATAAAACAAAGTTAGGCAAGAATCATGCTTATCGTTTTGCCCCTTTCCTCCCTGCCTACTGCCTATTAATTTCTGATTAATTTGAAGTACAAGATGTTAGGGAAAATCTTATTAATTGGACTGGTACTATATTTGGAGACATTGAGAAATTTTAGAAACTTTTTTTGCAGACTCACTGAAATCATTCTATAATTTATATTCTTACATTGTCATAACTGAATGATTCACATGGCTCTGTCTGATTCATAAAAGATCACACAAAAGACAAATGTTTCCTATGTAATTAAAAAACCAAACTTTTTCAAAATTACAAAAAGAAACTAGGTCCACACATCTTTTACTATATTCCTGATTTTTATTATTCTCCCACAAAATAAAAATGCCTTTACTGATTTTTCTAACTATATGAGCTTTATGAAAAATGCAATTTATATGTTAAAATAAATGGCTCACTGTGCTTAGGCAACAATGAACTCTTTTTGTTTACGTTGAAGAGGTGATACTTACAGTGTCATCTCTCCAAATAATCCAAAGTACAAGAGGTTTACAATTTTGCAAAAACCGCTAAAGGAAAAGACAGACAGACAGACACACACACACACACATACATGCATACACAGCATGGTGACACCATGGTTAAGGCAAAGATGTGAAATCAATCTGAACGTGGGAACCCTATGGGGCAGTCTACCTTGTACTTCAGAGTCTCCTAGAATTAGGGTCAACCTAATGGCAACACTTGTGTGTTTGTGTGTGTGTGTGTGTGTGTGTATTTACATAAATGGCTCCCATACAATAAAAGTCTGGTTCAATTTAAAAAAAAAACAAAACTTAGTAATCTGGAGTCTGAGGTACACCTAATCCAGGCCATGGCCTTTGCAATTACTTGCTATGCATCAGAAAGCTGGTCAATGACTAGGGAGGACAGAAGGAGAATTGATGCTTTTGAGCTGTGGTTCTGGAGAAGAGTATTAAATATACCATGGCCTGTTAGGAGAACAAACAGGTTTCATCCTGGAGAGGGTGAAAATGGGCTGCTCCCTTGGAGGCAAGGATTCTGAAGCTTTGTCTGACATATTTTGGGCATGCTGGAAGGAGGGATCAGTCCTTGGGAGAGGGACACCATGCTTTGGAGGGTGGAGGGACAGCACAGGAGGGGAAGACCCTGGATGAGATGGATTGACTCAGTGACTTAAGTAATGATGGTAGGTATGTTGGAGACAGTGAGGTTGGCTCAGGATAGAGCAGGGTTCAGAGCTATTATATATATAGGGTCACTTTGAGTCGCAGGAGAGAAGGCAGCATATAACAACAACAATATTGTGACACTTAGTTTCAATAAGAGGACAGTGGGGATTCAATGGCTGAATCCTACGTGAGAGACATAAATGCAATTCCAAGCCAGGCTGCCTACCCCCTGCCTAGCTGTGAGTTGCTCCAATGCTGAACAGATTTTAGTAGCATGTTCACATTAAGATAAATTAGCAAGAAAGATCTGGAAATGTTGTTTTGAAATTCAACCAGTGAAAGCACTGTAGATCACATGGGTCTAATCTAAATGTGAAAATGCCAAAGGGTCAGGTTCGGCTGTGAAAGGCGTTGGCATTAATCAAGGGTTTACCTGACAATTAAAAAAAATAAAAACAAACTCTCAGAACGTATCACCATCACGAGAACTGACTCACAGCTGACCCTTCAGTGGGTTTCCAAGGCTGTAAATTAAAAGGAGGAGACTGTACATCTTTTTGTTCCTCACAACTACCGGCAGACTGAAGCCACACGTGGACTCAGACCACCAGTGAGATGGCCCCTTTGAGCTAGGAGGACAACTCCCTACAGACTACTCCACGAGGGTCCAAGAAGATAAACTGCCCTATCTTATTCTGTATTTTAATACTGGAATGATGGGACATGTATGAAATTGAAAAAAAATGTGGATTATGTATTTTAATCTGCATAGGAACTATTAAACAAGGAAGAGTAGTACAGGAGGGGAACAGAAATGTCTAAAAATTTCCACAAAGTCAAACTGGATGGACTCGGAATGAATCAGGAGTAACTGTGTGTGAGAGCTGACCGCTTAATGCATGTTCCCAAGCCCTGTTTCACACCTATCCCCTGATGATGCAAGTTTATCATCTTTGTTATTTTAAAAATCCTTTCATAAATATCTTCCAGCTGTGTATGATTATTTTTGTAGAGTAACTTCTACACTTGCAGGATCAATGAGAAGGTATACTTTCTTTGAAACATAATGCTAGGTTAGCAATCCTTCAGAAATAACATTACTTTGGCATTAGCAAGGACTTTTTAAACCATCTGTTAGGTAAAAATGATAATTCACTTGAATTTTAATGTATTTTCAGATATTTTGTGTTTGAGCATTTCTTACAGATTTAATAACAATTTGTTACGTCGTAGCTTTGCGGGGTTTTTTTTATCCTTTTTCTACTGGGCATATGCCATTGCCTTTGATTTTTTTCCCCTTAGATTTTTAAGAAACATTACATTTAGAATTTTGCCTTTTGTTTATCACGTCTATAGTAAATAATTTACCCAATTTATGCTTCTGAAATTGTCTAAGAAATATGAGCAGAATTTCACAGTTTTGTCTAATATATATAAATTTCTCTACTTGGACATCTAACACATGCCTTTGATCTGCCAAGTTTCTCACTTGTAGTTTTAGAATTGCTATCATAAAGGACTTACTCCTCTCAGTCCATGGTAAAAAAGAGTCTCTAGGGACAAATGCTATATGGTGCCACTGTTGTAGAACGAGGCTGGCATTGGGGTGGGGGTAAGACTGAGAAAAACTGGATGAAATATGCTTACGGCAATGAAGTCTATGGGGGAGAGAATAGTCTAAAAGTATTATATTTTAGGGCATTATTTTTATTGTAGGAGTACGCAATGAGGGTTGCAGAGTGGATTATATTTGGGGGTGGGGGGTAGGGTTTGTGGAGGTGCGGGGGGTTTGTGTACCAATGAGGGAGTTTTTCTTTTGCTTTTCAAGGAGAGGAGCAAACGGGGGGGGGGGGCGGGGAGAAGGGTGCAACAATGAATGAATGGAATTCCAAAATCTCTGTAGCTATTCATTGAAATGAAAAATAAACAAACTAAATTAAAAAAAAAAAGAGTCTCTAATATTTTTTTCCATAGAGCTTTTATATTTAGGTTTTAAAATATTTAAATCTTCAATTTGTCTAGTTTTAATTTTTTTGCACATTTAGAAATCTAAAACTTAAATTTTCATAAGTGAAAGATCAAACAAGCTGTCTCCAGTTTCAATTTAAACTGATCTGAACTAATTACCGTGCACAAAATAATGTCATTACCAGGGTTCTCTGGTTCCTCCTGCCATTATTATGTACACCTTCTACAATGCCAGTTAGTTCTGTGTGTCTTTTACCTCTCTATTTTATGTTCCTACATAATAGCATTTCCTCTGTTGATACTGTGCTTAACATACAGTTAGTGCTGACGGAAAAGCCTCAACAGATCTGAGGGAGACATGGAATGTCCTCCAGAGCCAGATACACTGTGAATGCTGATGCTGGTAAAGCAGTGGTATTGGACATATTCAAATGTCAGGCAAAGTGCTCCATAAAGATGCTATTGTTTGTCACTAGTTTCTGTTGGGTCAATCCCAATTACTCAAGGTGGACCCAGATATGCGGAGTAGACTGGCTCCAGAGTGGTTGTTAGGCTGTGATCTTTCAGAAGCGGATTCCTAAGCTCTCTTCAACACATTCCAACAGGGAGAGACCGTTCATCTTTCTCCCACGGAGTCAGAGGTGGATTTGAGTTGCCAGAGGCATGCAGCCTTTTGAGTTTGCAGTGCAACTCCCTACGGATTGCCACCAGAGCTCCCCAACACCTACTAAAGCACACATTAAAACTGACCTAAACAGGAGTTTGTCCTATATTACTTAGTCATCAAGAACTCTGATACAAATTTCTTTGATCTGATGACCACACAGAGAACTGATGAAGGAGTGAAATGTCATATTCAGGTCATTTGCTAGCTGTGTTGGCTCTTCTAATCGTGCCTGCGTGTTGTCTTGTGATAGATACATTCCCCTACCACTAAAAGACTGAAAAAAAAGGAGTGTTACTAGAAATGTAAACTGCTGCAGTTATGTTATGCTGTCTAGTCCAAGATCATAGTGACCCTCTGAATAACAGATAGAAATCTTGCCCTATCCTGCTCCATACTCCATTCTCAGCATCCTTAACATGCTCCAAACCTCTTTTATTGAGGATCTTCCTCTCTTTTTCTTCCCCCCATTCTCTGATGCTGAATGGTTCCCAGCCTGATATCTTTTTACAGCGACTAACTCTTTCTGATAACATGCTCAAAGTAGGTGAGATGACACTCCACCATCCTTGTCTAAAAAGGAGTACCCTGATTATATTTCCTTAAATTCAGTCTTGTTTGTTCTTTGGGCAGTCTATAATATACTCAATACTTTCCTCCAATACTACAATTCAAGGCATTGACTATTTTTTTTTTTTTGGCATTGACTACTCTTTGGCCTTTTTAATTCATTGTTCAACTTTCACATGCACAGGGAGCAATTGAAAAGATGGTGCCTTGCATCACGCTCCCTTACGTCTTCAAATTGACACTGCTGTACTTGAGCAGTTTGGAGAGATCTTTGACAGCAGATTTTCTCAGTGCAACACATCTCTTGATTTCTTTACTGCTGTTACCATGAATGTTAATTGTAAATCCAAGTAAAATGAGGTTGTGGACAAGTGAAATATTTTCTCCATCTATCACGATGCTATCTATTGTTCCACTGGTAAGTATTTTTGTTTTCTTGATGTTGAGATGTAATCCATATTGTTGCCTGTAGTCTTTGATTTTACTGCAGCAAGTGTTTCAGAACTCTTAGCTTTCAGCAAGCAAGGTTGTGTAACCTGCATAATGTAGGTTGTTAATGAGTCTTCAACCATCTCTGATGACACATTTTTCTTCATATAGACTAATTTCTCAAGTAATCAGCTCAGTACACACATTGAATAGTTAAATAAAAAGGAAGCAAGCAAGGCTCACACCTTTTGTAATTTTAAACCATGCAATGCTCCCTTGTTCTAGTCAGTCGACTGCTTCTTGGTCTACATGCTGGTTTTGGTTTTGCATGAAGACAGGTGTTCTGCAATTCCCATTTTTTTCATGCTATCCATAATGGGACCATGAATCTATCCCAACTGAATTTAAAAATCATCAAGAACCGATTGGATGCATTGAATACTAATGATCAAAGATCAAATAAATTGTAGGATAACATCAAGGACATCATCCATGAAGAAAGCCAAAGATAATTACACAAAGACAGGAATGAAACAAATGACTGAAACAGATATCAGAAGAGACTCTAAAATTTACACTAGAACAACAGAGGCCAACACAAAGGGAATCTCAAGAAGATGAAGCAAAGTATTAAAATGTGTGAATAGATGGAGTTAAAAACCACAAAGAGAAGAACACACTTGGCATTTCTCAAGCTGAAAAAAAAACTAAAGAACAAATGTAATCCTTGAGTTTCAATGCTGAAGTTTTCTATGAACAAAATCTTGAATGATGCAGAAGGTACCAGAAGATGAACCGTAAAGATTTGGTTGACACAACCATTTCAGGAAGTTGCATTATGATCAAGAACCAACGTAAGGGAAGGAAGAAGTTCAAGCCACATTGACAACACTGGTTAAAAAACAGGGCACTAGGAATCAATGAAATACCCAATGAGGTGTTTCAGGAAACATGAAGCTTTTATTATAGTATTAAAGCTTTGACCACACCATGCCTATCAGCTTGCTCAACTTTGATCACTGGTAATAAACATTTCTGCCAAAAATTAGTGAGGTTTGTCCTGTACTATTTTTGCCAGTTAGTAAATAAAAACTGTAGTTCATGAGTAACTAGCTACAGATGACAATTTCCTGTGCACAATCAGCAGGAATATTGCTAAATAGAGTATATTTAACTTAATTGCATTAAAGGTAAACTCTAATATTTTATAATTACTCTGAAACTCAGTAAAACAAATAAATAGGAATTACTTCAGACTCCAAAAATCAAGGCAAGAGACAAATGTAATATAATGAATGCCAAAAATTAATTAGGCTTCAGAAGGTTTCTTTAATAGGAAATAAAAGGGAAAATTCTTATCAACATGTAAAAGAAAATTTTATACATGAAGAAGAAAAAGACATTAGGATTGGATAAAGACCCATCAACAACCTGTATTATGCAGAATACAACACCTTGTTGCATCAAGTGAAGAATATTTGAAGCATATACTCAAGAAGGTCAGAGACAGCAGCCTTCAATAGAGATTACACCTAAAACATAAAAAACCCAACAACCCAGAAATCCTCACCACTGGACCGATAGATAACATCATGATAGAGGGAGAAAAGATTAAAGTTGTCAATGATGACAGTTTACTTGGATCCACAATCAACATGGAAGTAGTGGTCAAGAGACTAAAAGGTAGTCTGTGAAATGTGCAAATGTGCTGTGAAGAAACTCTTTAAAATGCTAAAAAGCAAAGATGTTAAAGAGAAAGGTGTGCTTAATGTCATGCTATTTTCAATTGGTTAATATGCATATGAAAGTTGAAAAAGACTGAAGAAAAATCTGTCTTTGAATAGTGGTGTTGGCTTAGTGAATGGAATACTGTACTGAATATCCTTACAGACTGCCAAAAGAACAAACAATTTTGTCTTGGAAGAAGTGCAAATAAGGTGGTCCGTGGAGGCAAGGATGTTGTGATAATTTGGGTATAAAATCAGAATGTACAAGTCCTTGAAAAAAGACATAATAATTGGAAAAGTAAAGCAGGAGAACAAAATCTTGCCTTTACGCTATGTCAATTTCATCATCTCCACCATGCTGAAACCCGCGGTTGTAGTCATTGTGACAATGTATTTTGTTGAGGGCTTTCTCTGATCCTCTACTGAAGCAAAATTTTAAGCTATTTTCATGGAGTCATTATGAGTTGTAGCTCAACTGATGGCACCTAACAACAAACACCACAGGGTGCTCTTGTTGCCTGCTGGTAAGAAACTGCACTGCAATCCCAAAGGCACTTGGTTCAGATCCACCAGATGCTCCATGGGAGAAGTGCAATTTACTGTTTCTGAAAACCTGCTCTGGGTTAGTTCTGATTTGATGGCACATAACAATAACAACAACAACATATTACATCTAAATAGAAGGCTAATGTGACATACAATGTGATAGTCTCAATTTAGGTTAGCACTGGACTGTAACAAGGACAAAAAAAATTCAGTGATCAACAGACCTATTCATGACCAGCAAATGAACACAATCTTCAGATAAACACAATGCAGTGAGGGTTTTTTTTTCTGTTAGTAACAATATGGCACAATTTTCAGATGAATGATCTCATTTCAAAATTGTACTTTTACTAGGGGACGTGCCTATGACCTATACCAGCAATCATGCTCTACCTAGTCCCTTCCCAAGGTAGAAAGCAAAGAGGCAGAATTACTTACTTTTACAAGCTCCTGCTGAGGCCAAATCTGAATGGGTTCTACCTGTTGAGGAGTCTGAGTTTGAATACCATATGTATTGAGAAAAACTTGAAGGCTAAAGTACATAGGAGACAGAAAAAAGAAAAAATATGATCGAGATACTTTTAGATAACACAGATAACACAGTTATAGTTTGCAAATGATGACAGATGGGGATAAGAGGAAGAGACTATGCATAACTTGGGGCACACCATTAGTTTGTTAATGTCAGCATTGTACCATCTGCACTGGAATCCAAAAGCATTTTGGATTCTTCAGAAAACACCACATGGATGCTTTTGGGTTGAAGGATAAGTACTGATGTTGGAAACCCTAGTAATCTGTTTATAAAACAAAGTTAATTTTTAATGAAATAAATGATGTATTGGAATTTAAAAAGGCATATCTGTAACTCTGCAAAGGGAGTCAATGAAGTGAAATGAAATACTATTATCTTGATGGTATAGTGGTTAAAGAGCTCGACCACTAACCAAAAAGTGGGTGATTCAAAAACACCCGCTGCTATGTGATAGAAAGACACGGCGGACTGTCTGTGTAAGGATTTCGATCCTTGGACAATCTCCAGGGCAGTTCTCCTCTGTCCTGTGGGTGAGTCACAATCTACTCACAGCAGTGGACTGGGTTTTGGTTTTATCATACGAAATACTGAAAACATTTTATGGGGAAAAAATCACTCCTTCCCTACCCCCAAAAAATCCACCCCATCCCTCTGGATTTCATACCGGTGGCTTTCTGCTACAAGTGCTACATTAACTACCAAATCATTTTCCAGCGGTCCCTGTAAGAAATAATAAGGGTTGGGGGAAAAAGACATTGAAAAAGATCTAGTCATCATTGCTTTCAATGAGAATCAAAGACTTATTAACCATCTCTAAGCAGTTCATTAAAATGATGGATACCAGCTGACTCTAAACAGCCATCTTTCTTTCCTTGCTTCGCACCTCCTACTAATCAAGTTGATGGCGTAGACAGAGTAATGGAACACCAAGGACTGGAAAGCTATCAATCTCATCGCTACCACAGGGTCTTGGTTGTCAGAGCTATTTTGAATGATGCATAAGAGCAGTTTGGGGATTGAGAGTCATCTTCCATCATTTAACTTTGAAGGGAGGAGGAGAAATGAAAATAAAACCCCAATTTAAGGATTCTGTTTAAAAAAATGATTTTGAGTTAAAAATTTTTATTTGATATCTTAATCATATACAAGGCAATTTCCTTTCTTATTAGCTGCCTTTCTTTTGTCATACATCCTAATAACACCATTCTCATATATACTACCAAGCTGGCTTTATTCATTAAATACAAGCTGTTGGACTTAGGAGTTCTAATTAAAGACTGTATTGAACATTTCTACTCCTTTTTTATATAGAAAAGATTTACTACAACATATATATAACAGACTGTTTAAATGAATCTAATTTTGAGTCACTATATAATAAAAAATATTAAGACAAAAACTTTCCCATACTATGCAGTAAAATGCTTGATTTATCATGTCAGTTTCTCTCTATGGTATTCAATATGCTGCTACGATTTATGTGTGATGGGAAACTAAAACACTAGAATACACATGTCAGCAATAAATATAATACATTCAAAAGGGCGGTTCCCAAAATTATGGTGAAAATGCCTTTTCCTGTAGATTTCCATTTCATTTAAATGCATAGGAAAGCAAAGCAATAGGTTACAACCCAATCAAAAGATGCAAACTTTAAAATGCTACAAATTCTATTTTTAATTGATATAGATTATAACTTAATGTTTTTCAAAGAGATGAGAAAAAATGAAATGGAAAAGGTATGCTTCATTTTCAAGTGAAATCTCACTCAACACTCACTGTTGTTGAGTTGGTCCTGCCTCACAGCCGACCCTCGCGTGCGTTTTCAGAGGCTGTAAACATCACGGAGGAGACCGTCCAGCTCTCTCCCTGGGAGCCACTGGTGGATGCAAACTGGCAGAGAAGTTCTCCTTTTAGATCAGCAACAAAACTCCCTGTGGGATTTGCCAGCAGAGCTCCCTCAGGTGAAATCTACTACTTTATTGTAATCAAAAGGAGGAATGATCCTACAGTGGGTCATAATCCACAATCTTCAAGGCAATATTGTTCTTGTTAAGTGCCATCAAGTCCCCCTATGCCATCTTTGTCATCTCTGACACATTTGAGCCCACTGTTGCAGACACGGCATTAATCCATCACAATGACGGTCTTCTTCTCCTTCACCGATCTTCCCCTTTCCAAGCATGAAATCTCTCCGCAAGGAACAGCCTTTCCTAACAACATGTCTAAAGCATGTGAGACAAAGTTTCACCATCTTTCCCTCTAAAGAGCACTCTGGATACACTTCCTCCAAGACATATCTGTTCTTTCGGCAGTGCACGGGACATTCAGCTTTCTTCTACAACACCACAATTCAAAGACATCAATTCTTCTCCTGTCATCCTTATTCACAGTCCAGCCCTCAGATGCATAACAACAGGTGATTGGAAAGACTAGGACTTGAATGAGATGCACCTTAGTCTTTCAAATGACATCATTGCTCTTCAGGACTATGGAAAGATTCCTGACAGTAGACTTTCCCAATGCTATACTTCTCCTAATCTCCTTACTGCTAGTATCAAGGATACTGACTGTGGATCCAAATAAGATGAAATCATTGACAATTTCAATCTTTTATTCCTTCTATCATGTTGTTTCCTATTGGCACAGAGGTGAGGATTTTTATTTTCTTAATGTTTAGATGTAATTCATATTGAAGGCTGTAGCACTTGAGTTCCTCCTTGCTTTCAGCTATCAAGAGCTGCTTAATGCATGCTATCAATGAGTCTTCCTCCAATTCTGATGCCACACTCTTCTCCATAAAGTCCACTTTCTTTAATGATTTGCTCAGTATTCAGATTGAAGAGGTGTGGAGAAAGGCACAGCCTTGATGCACACCTTTCCTGATTTTAAGCCATGCAGTGTTCCCTTGCTCTTTACAGACAACATCTTAGAGTGAAAAATAAAAATTGAGTTAAGACATCTACTTGAATACGTATGATATTTCAGTAAAAATAAAAAAGACAGTTCAAATAATCTAATTGGCAAATGGGTGTCTCCTTTTTAACCAACAGACCTGTTTCTTAGGATAATGCTACTACACTCAAATGGCACAACACACACTTCTACCTTTCAGATGAAGAAAAAGCAACTGAAAATAGAATGGCTTGGATCAGGCACAGCTTAAATCTTTAAACTGACATCCATGATCTTTAGCACCTTAAAGAGGTTCTTAAAACAGATTTCCCAAAATAAGTTGTCATTTGATTTCCTGACAGTTGTTACTATGTGTGTTAACTGTGGATCCAAATAAGATGACATAGTTGACAACTTCAATCTTTTCTCCATCTATCATGAAGTTGTTAATTATTCAGTGGTAAGGATTTTTGTTTACTGTGATGTTGAGATGTAATTCCTATTGAAAGTTGTTGCCTTTGATATTTTGCAGTAAATACTTCAAGCTTCTGCACATTTTGCAAGCAAGGTTGTGTCATCTGCATAACACAAGTTATTGATGAGTCTCCCTCCAATCCTGATGCCACATCCTTGTTCATATAATCAAGCTTGCCAAATTATCTGCAGTGCATACAGACTGAATGGATATGGAGAAAAAACTGAATGGGCAATTTTCATACTTATTCAATACTTATAATACTTATAATATGCATCATTAAATAAGTAGCATTTCTTTAAATGCTCCAGGTTAGTTCATAAATTTATTCAAAGGTATAAATAAATTTTTTATCAGAGTAAAATGTCAGAAATACTGATTCATTAAAATAATACTAGATAATTATATCCCTGTACATCTTTATTCTGGGACATAAATCTTTTTATCTTACTTGGGTCTACTTCATTCTCTTTTTTCTTCAGCCATGACTATAAGAAGTCCTATAAGATGACTATAGAAGACTATAAGATGAAATGTATTATAATTCATGGCTATTACTGGAAATATTAATAAATTCAGTGGTTTAGAGGGATCTTATTAAATATGTTTAAGTTCATTTCTTTGCCTTCCATTTTAACCAGTCTCAGGTCCAGATATTTTTGACCAAGGCTTTAATATTTATTGGTTCTTACATAAACTTTGGTTGATTAAAGACTTGTATCCTCTGAGGAGGACCTGAAGCACCTGCTGCAGAGGGTCAAGGACTGCAGCCTACAATATGGACTGAGGCTCAATGTCAAGAAGATTCTCACCACTGGACCAATTGGCAGCATCAGGATGGATGGTGAGGAGACTGAGATTGTTCACAGCTTCAGTTTGCTTGGCTCCACAGTCAACACTCTTGTCACCAGTAGCCAGGAAATTAAAAGGCGCATTGCCATGGGAAAGTCTGCTGTTAGAGACCTCTCCAAAGCACTGAAGAGCAATGGTGTCTCTCTGGAGACTAAGGTGCGTCTGATACAGGCCATTGTCTTCACAATCACTTGTTATGCATCAGAGAGTTGGACAATGACCAAGGAGGATAGAAGGAGAATTTATGCCTTTGAGCTGCGGTGCTGGAGAAGAATATTGAGAGTACATGGACTTCCAGGAAAACAAACAGATTCATCCTGAAAAGGGTTAAACCGGGTGGCCCTTGGAGGCAGGGATTCTGGGGCTCTGTCTAACATACTTTGGACATGTTGTGAGGAGAGACTGCTCCTTGGAGAGGACATCATGCTTGGGAGGGTGGAGGGACAGGCAGGAGGGGAAGGTCCTCTATGAGGTGGATTGATTCAGTGACTCGGGTAATCGGGATGGGTGTGTCAGAGACAGTGCGATTAGCACAGAACAGAGCAGAGTTTAGGGCTGTTGTACATAGGGTCACTATGAACTGCAAGCGACTCAAAGGCACATAACAACAACAACAATATCCTCTGAAAACTGTAGAAAATCTTACCTGAGGAGAATGCTTGTGTACCTACAGTATATGGAGATCAGGAATTTAGAGCACTTTTGATGACTTAGGCTATTCTAGTTTTTATGTTAAGTAAAAGAACTTCTCAATATTCACAATTATTACCATGAGAAGTGCTGCCAACTTTTGTAGTCTGAAATGGATAGAACGTGCAATCACAAAGCATTAATAGTAAGTAGTGACTGGAATGCAAAATCTGAAAACAAAAGAAATTGTATTTGGGAAATAGGCAGTTGGTGACAAAAATGAGGCTGGAGATTGAATGACTGAGTTTTGTACATTTAGTAATTTATTCATAGACTTCACCTGATGGAGTATGCAGGAATCAGACAGACTACATGTATGGAAAGAATTGATGGAGAAGATAAATATCAGCAGTCAAAACCAGGCCAGGGACTGACTGTGGAAGAGACCATCATTTACTCATGCGAAAGTTAAAACTGAAGTTAAGGAAAAAGAAAATAAGAAGCAAAATACAACCTTCAGTGTATGCCAGCTCAATTTAAAAACCATCTCAAGAATAGGTTTGATGCATTGACATGAGTAATCGAAGACCAGATCAACTATGCAATGACATTAAAGTTATCATCTATGAAAAAAGCAAAAGATCATTACAAAGACAGAGGCGGGGGAAAGACCAAAGTAGATGTCAGGAGAGCTTCTGAAAACTGTACTAAAATGTAGAAATGTCAAAACAAAGAGAAGAAATGATGCTGTAAAAGAGCTGAAGTGAAGATTTTTTAAAATATTTATTTTATATTGGTTTGATTACAAAGTTTGTATACATTTCTCAAGCTGAAAGAACTGAACAAAGTCTGAGTTGCAATATTGAAGGATTCTATGGGGAAAATATTGAATGATACAGGAAGCATCAAGACGACAGAAGGAATACAGTGTTACTGTACTAGAAAGAGCCAGTCACTAATGAAACACTTCAGGAAGTCATATATGATTAAGAACCAACAGTAATGAAATATGTTCAAGCTTTATTGAAGACACAGGTAAAAAAATAAAGCCTTGGGAATTGACAGAGTATCATTGACATATTTGAACAAACAACATCCCTGGATGTGCTTAATATTCTATGTCAAAAAATATGGAAGACCGTTTTCTCACCAACTGATTGGAAAAGATCCATACTTTTCCCATTCAAAAAAAAAAAAAAAAAGTGGGCCGCCAAAATGTGGAAATTCTTGTATCAGCAATATTAAACGCAAATAAAATCTTCCTGAACATTATTTTTAAAAACAGCTAGAACAGCACGGCAACAAGAAATTACTAGAAATTCAAGTTGGATGCAGAGGAGCGTGTGTCTTGAGGGATGTCATTGCTGATGTCATCCCTCGAATGACATACCTGAGCTGAAAGCAGAGAAAGACAGAAGGATGTCTATTTGTGTTCTATTGAATATACAAAGGCATTTACTGTGTGGATTACAACAAATTTTGACTAACATGGAGAAGAAGCGAAACCTCAGAACTCTTAATAGTGTTCATGCTTTACATAAATCTCATCCAAGAAGCTACAACAGAGCAAGCTACTATTATATGGTTCAAAATCAGAAAAGACTGTATCCTTTCTCCATACTTAATTCAATCTGTATGTCTTCAAAACGGACAGCTCAACATCAAGAAAACAAAAATCTTCATTAATGGATCAACAGGCAACATCATTATAGATGGCAGAAGGACAAGCCTATCAATTTCACTTTACTTGGATTCACAAGCAACACTCATGGTATTAAGAGTTGAAGTCAAGAGACATTTTCCATTGGGAAAATATGTGGTTAAGAATCTCTCTAAAGTGCTAATAAGCAGGAGTGTCGATTTAAAGACTAAGATGTGCCTGGTTTAAGTCACAGATTTTCCAATTACTGCCTACGCATATGCAATGAATGCTTCGGAGTTGTAATGTTAGAGATGAGTAGTGACTATCCCATGAACTACTGACACCAAGAGGCTGTTGTTCGAACAGAGCATGAGAAAACAGCATGGTTTGAAATTTGGAAAAGTGTATCCTTTCTCCATACATATTTAATTTATTGCTGAGGAAATTACTGGCCTCAAGATTAATGGAAGACTCATCAATAATGTTCGTCAGCAGATGACACAATCTTGCTGAAAATGAGGAGGACTTGAAGCACTTGCTACACAAGGTGAAAAACACTGTAGCCTTGAATATGGATTGCATCTCAACCTCAAGAAAACAAAAATCCTCTCTACTAGATCAATAGGCAACATCATGATAGACAGAGAAAGAGCTGAGACTGTCAAAGACTTCCTCTTACTTGGATCTATAATCAAAACACTTGGCACTAGCAGTCGGGAGAGCAGGGAATTTACTGTAGTGGGAAAGTCTACATTCAGGGACCTTTCCAAATTATTGAAAAGCAATGATTTGAGTTTGTGGACTACGGTGTACCTGAGACAGACGATGGTCAGTTACTTGCTCTGCATTTGAGAGCTAGACAATGATGACAGAAGGAAAATTGATGCCTCTGAACTGCGGTGTTGGAGAAAACTGCTGGAGATCCCATGGATTGCCAAAAGAACAAAGAGATATGCCTTGGAGAAGGTACAGTCAGAGTGCTCCTTGGAGCAAAGATGATGAAGTTTCATCTCACATACTTCAGGCATGTTGCTAGAAGAGGTTATTTCATAGAGAGGGACATCATGCTTGGAAAAGTTGGAGGGGTGGCAACAGAGAGGCAGATCCTCCACCAGGTAGATTGAAAAAGTGACTGCAGCAATGGGCTTGAGTGTGTTGGCGATTGTGAGCATGGCACAGAATAGAACAGGGTTCAGATCAGTTGTTCATTAGGTCACTGTGGGTCACACTCCCAGAGCCCCTCCTTCACTTGGTGTCTGAGACTGTAAATCTTTATGGGAGGAGACTGCCCATCTTTCTCCCTTGGAGCAGCTGGTGGATTCCAACCTCTGCGCTTTTATTTTGCAGGGCAACATCATCAGAACTCCTTTGGCTATTCCAAAGATCAAGTCATCTCAAATATGACCTAGTCAATTATAGCCTAGTAGTCATCGAACCAACATTACAAAAAGAAGGCCACACATCTACAGATAGATCTAACCATGCTATTTCATCACTCCATGTGCTACCTCAACCCAGGAAGCATGAGCATGTCAGGTCTTTTTGAAACATTGTCTTACGAGTGAAAGTTTACAAAGCAAATTTGTTTTCCATTAAACCATTCATACACATTTTGTTTTATAATAGTAACTGCAATACCCATACTGGAACCACATTCTTCTCACTTCTACTCTGTAATTCTTGTTTTCATTGATCCTTGTATCTTATCCCTTCCTGATTTCTAAGCTCTATCCTTGGGCAGATTCTGTCCTTTTGGCCTTACACAGTTGATTATTCTAAGGAATAGAATTAGTATTAGTGTTCACTTTATAAGCTTTGTCTATTGTTTGGCTGAAAACTGAGCCAAAGGGTGGAATACTGTTCCAAGTTTTACAGGTAACTAAGGACACAGACCCTCTCACCTACAGTCTACTTGTAATAATTAAATGACTTGGTGAAAATCAGAAAAACAAATACTTATTGATGCCCTACAGAGATATAGATAGACAGATAGATAGATAATAGATACATAGATAGATAGATAGATAGATAGATAGATAGATAGATAGATAGATAGATAGATATACACACACATCTATGTAAGTATGAACACAAAGACATAAACATAAGGTTAATAGATCTGCATGTTGTTGTTGTTAGGTACTGTCGAGTCACTGGCATCTGATAGCGACCCTATGTACAGCAGCTCTGAGCCGGCCCTGTCCTGAGCCAGTCTAACTGATTCTGACACACTTACCCCCACTGCCCCAGTTACAGTATCAATCTATCTCATCTGGGGTTTTTCTCTCCTGTACTCTCCCTCCACCTGTACTCTCCCTCCACCTTTCTAAGCATGATGTCCTTCTCCAAAGACTGGTCTTCCTGGCCATGTGCTCAAAGTATGTGAGACAGAGCTACAAAATCCTAGCCTCCAAGGAGAAACTTGGTTTCACCGTCTCCAAGACAGACCTATCCTATTTGTTTTCTTGAAAGTCCATGGTATGTTCAAGACTCTCCATATATAGAAACATAAATGCCTGTACTACATGTCTATGTCCCTGTTGTTGTTGTTGACTGCCTTCAAGTTGAGTACAACTCATAGCAACACTATGAACAAAAGTCCTGAAGCCCCCCTCCAACTATAGACATTTATCAAAGTTCACAGAGTTTCTGGAAGCATGATATTTAGAAAACGGATGCCACTCCTGCTACCTGCCTTTATTAAAAAAAATAAGTAAGTAAAAAGGTGGGGGGAGGTGGAAGGTTTTGTGGACAGGTAGGTGAGCTGCCAATCCAAAGGCAGGAGGTTCAAATCTACCTGCTTCCCTTTGGGAGAAAGATGGACAATTTCCTCGCATGCAATTGATAGCCTCTGGAAACCCACTGGAAGGTCAGCTATGGGGTGGTTCTGACTTGATGGCAATGAGTTGAGATTAGTTTAAAAAAAAAAAAAAAAGAACATTTTCATTTTCTAAGCATATCCTCTGTAACATCTGATGCTATTTTTATTAAGTGCACATTAACCACTTAGAATTCCAGGCACACATGCAAATTCATTTCCTTTCTCCTTAGGCAGTTTCCATAATCCACAACATTTTTTAATAGTCCTCATTACTGGTATCATTTAATACTTCAGGGTTTGTTCAAGTCAACATCAATCTTTCTGATCCTAACAAACATTTATTTTGTTGATACAACACAGTCTGCATCCACAGCAACTAAAAGTCAAGACTTTAAAATGTTAACCTCCCTGAGCATGTCACTAACTACTGAGAACATGTATGCTAGCCACTCAGTAATATCATGGAGACACACCGGGTACGGGGCCTTTCTTGGGATTCCATTCTCTCCAATTACCATCTCATCACTGCCCCAACAGTCTCCTGATCTATGTGTTCTCTGAGGTATCCTAGACCTTACATATAATCATCATGAAGCTGACCGTGTTTATCTGAAGGGCGGAGTGCTGAACACCACCTTCCTTGTTAACAAACAGCTCTGTACCATAGCAAATCTTAACTAAATACAAGAGAGAAAGCCTTTACTCTGAAGTAGAAGCAACCAAAACACACTAAGTATAAAATTTCTTCTTCAATTAAGGATGAAAGTCTTTTGCTAAATCTAAGTTAAGGAAAAACAAAAATTCATTCTTTTACCTGATTGGAAAACCTCATGCTGACATTGCGTTGATTCTGTCGTGGGACATAACGCTGGATTGGATCAAGGTCTTTGGGACTTATTAATTCATCAACTAAAAATTAAAGAAGGGAAGTAGCATTATGAAAAGTAAATTTGTATAGAACTGTAAAACAAACCTAAACAGACATCTGCAAAACACTCAACCAATAAGCAGAACATACATTCTTCTTTAAATCAATATGCAATATATCCCAGGATAGATCATATGCTAAGTGAAAAACAAGCTTCAATAAACTTAAAAGAATTTAAATCATCAAGCATGTTCTCTAATGACAATAGCATAAAATTAGAAAAAAAAAACAAAAAAAGCAAACTGAAATTTCAAGTATGTGGAACTTAAACAACATATCTTTAAATAAAGGATTCAAAGAACTGAAAATTGTAAAATATTTTCAAATGCACTTTCAAATAAATGAATGATGATAACATAAAAATTCACAGAATGCAGCCACAGCAGTGGTTAAAAACGTGTACTATAAAATAGAAAAAAGGTCTCAAATCAGTAGTCTACCCTGTTACCTCAAGATCAACTCAATTCATATCTTTGCTGTGGAGTCGAAAGTGACTCACAGCTGACCCTCTAGCAGGTTTTCAAAGGCTATAAATTGTATAGAAGGAGATTGGCCATCTTTCTCCAGAGGACCATCTGACGGATTTAATCATCTTTGAACTAGCAGTGCAATTCCCTACCACAAGACTAGGTCACAAGAGCCCCCTTACCTCAAGATAGGGGGTGAAAAAGATCCAATTAAATCCACAGCAAGCAGAAGGAACAATAATAAAAGATCATAGTAGAAGATAATGGAATAAAATATAGAAAAACCAAGAAGAAATACCAACAAAAGCAAATGCTGGTTCTTGGAAAATTCAATAAAACTGATAAACTTTTCGCTAGACTGACCATGGGGGTGGGAGGTGGGAAAGAAAAAACTCTAATTATTAAAATAAATAATGAAAAGAAGGACACTGGCACTAAACAAAATTCACAAACTCCTAGAAAAAGAAAAATAATACCAAAACTAACTCAAGAAGAAATATGACATTTGAATAGACCTCTAAAAAACAGATTGAAAACTCTCATAAAGAAAATCTCAGGGTCAGGTAAATTTACTGGTAAATTCTATCTAATATTTTAAGAAAAATTACACATTTTTTTTTTACAAATTATTTTAAGCAACGGAAGAGTAGAGAAATAATGCTAACCTATACTTGGCATAGTAGGAGGCAGAGTTATTATGATACCAAAATTAGACAAAGGTATTATGAAAAATCATGTAAGAATGTAGTTACAAAATCTTTTAAGAAAATATAAGCAAATGAATTTCAATAACATCTAATAAGGATTAAATATCATGACCAAGAAAGACTTATCCCACAGACCCGAGGTGAGTTTAACATCCAGAAGTCATGTGGCACATTTTAACCCTCTTTCATAATAAAACCATTCAACAACAAGGAATAGAAGTTCCTCAGCTAAATAAATTCAATCTACATAAAAACCCAGTTACCTATTTGTGAATGAATGCTCTCCCCTAAATATAGAAAAGGACAAGATGTGTGTTCTTATCATTTCTATTCAACATTATATTAGTATCAAGTGGGAAATAAAGTAATAAAATTAAATAAAAGGTAGCTACACTGAAAAGGGAGAAGGAAAACGATTTTCACATATAATCTTACATTCAGAAAAATCACATGGCTCACACACACAAAAAAAGGAAAAGAAAAATTATTCAATTCAGCAAGGGTCTAAGGTACAACATACAAAAATAAATTGTAAATGTAACTGTTAAACTGTACACTAGGGAAAAAGGTGTAATATAGCAAATAAAGTGTTTTATAACATTTTACAACTACAACAGTAGCCAAAAATGAGACAAACCCCCCAAAAAGCTGTGTTTATCGATACTGTTTCTTGTTATTGTTATGTCGTACTACAGAGTCTGAGCTAACTCATACCTGACCCTCCAGCAGGTTTTCAGAGACAGTAAATTGCATGGAAGGAGATTGTTCATCTTTATCCCATGGAGCAGCTAGTGGATTAGAACCAAGTGCCTTTGCATTGGCAGCACAATTCCTTACCACTAAGTTATGGGAAGCCAATACTAAATATTTGCGATAAACAGAATGCTATTTCAGGATGGAGTTCACCCTGAGGCACTAAGGCAATCATTAAGGGTTTAGGGATTCTTGCATTGTATGTGCTGACATCTCCCTCCTGAGTCAAGGGGAAGGTTTTCAATAGAAAGAGTTTGGCTTCATTTGCATCGAATTCTCTTTGTGATATACTTCCTGAAAATTTTCAGTAAAGATACACGGAAGCTCAGGTCAGTGCTTCAGTCTTGGACTTGCTGGCTCCCTGTTTTTTATGCTCTCTGTTCTATTTCATTCTTGGTTGTCTGTCTCATTATTAATAATTATAAAAATACTCTACCCTCAGTCTGCAAAACTAAGCTATCAGAAGCAGGAAGCAGGAATGGCATCCACTTCCTAAATAACATGCCTCTGGAAACTCTATGAACTTTGATAAATACCAATAGTTGTACAGGGGCTTTGTTCATAGGATTGCTATGAGTCATGCTTAACTTGAAGGCAATCAACAACAAGCTATCAGAGTTCTCTACTGATAATCTTTAGGTACAATTAAATATCTCATGGATTAGGTTTCTTAGTTTGAGGTTTAAGGTCATTCCTTTTTGTATTTATTCAATCAGTTGTCTTAATACCATTTTTAGAGGTTTTGTTCTACCTTCTACTTTAATGAGTGACATTTGGGATTTTAGGAGCTTATGAATGGCTACCTAAGATACAATAATTGGTTTTTTCTATTCCTCTAGAACAGTAAAGGGAAAAAGGAGCCTCAGGAATTGTAAAAGTAAATGCCTTCATGAATTACCATCTCCTTTGCCACTGATTTAAAAAAATATGGTGTCTGGCTACCATTACTGAATGTTCTGATTAAAGACTCAATAAATGTATCCTGATCAAATAGAGGAAAGTCAGGAAACAGAACTTTAAATTCATAAAGAAACCAGACTTACTGGGTCCACGGAGACTTGGAGGTGGAGGCTGGGATGAAAGGAACTCCTGAACATTTGGCCTGGAAATAATCTTTAAACTCAGAACCAGAAATATCTCATGAAACTATCACTGAACTTAATAACAGTTTAGTTCAGTAAAGAATGATTGCCTAGAGCAATCCTTTCTTATAAAGAATTATTTATATGAATTCAAACTGACAAACTATAGAGCAAGTGAGAACTTTAAAAGGACAGAGTATAAATTAATAGTGATGTGATAATATGGATAGAGTGAGAACAGCAACATATTGTGAAGTGTGTAACCAATATTATTGAAATAATATACATACATGCAGAAATTTTTAACTGATGTATGTTTGATTCTATATATTTCCATTAAAAAATCAATTTATTGTATTCTATACATTAGCAATTAACATGCAAAATTAAGATAGCAATTCTACTTAAAAATGCTATTAAAAAGAATATTCAGGAAAAGAAATGAACCTTTAATTATGTGGAACAGAGTAATACAATCACAAAAGGACAATATTGCACAAATTTATTTATATGAAATTATAAGAACAGATAAATATATCTAAACTAATCTATATATGTGTATATATGGAACGCTGGTGGCCTAGTGGTAAGAAGCTGTGCTATAATCTTAAAGGAACATGGTTTAAATCCACCAGCTGTTCCACAGGAGGAGGATGGGCAATGGGGTGTCAGAACCCTTGAAAATGGGTTTGTTTAGCCATTGTTAGCTCCTGTTAGAGGTATGGTACCCAGCTACCTTAATTGTAAACACATGATTTTACAACTGCTGTGGGAGCAATATAAGAGAAGAATTTCTACTTGGTGAGAGACAGTGGTGAGAAACTGTGAAGATACTGTGAAAGGGGGTGATGGTTGTGGAGAGATTGTGAAGAGACTGTGGAAAGTTGTAACCAGAGGAACCCTGGAGATAATGGCTACAGTTAAAGGTTTTGTTTGCTGGAATGCAACCTGAAAAACCTGACTTGTAACTGCTCTAAGATAAAGTCAGCTGGATGACCAAGGAAACTAGAGGCTTCTTGCACTTTGTGCTCATGAACTGAACCTGGACTTTCAATAACTGGAGAACTGTGCCTTGTTAATCTGACTTGAGACTGCTGGACCAAACCTGGACATGCACTAGGTGAATTCTTTGCCTCCCCAACGCTCCAACTTACTTCCCTAATAAACCTCACAACTGTGAGTAAAGTCCGTGAGGATAAAAAATAAATATCAAACATGAATGACTGGTCAAAGAGGTGCAGGAGCAAGGAGGGTGGCATGACTGACTGAGTGGCTATCTGTTTGCTACTGCGGATATTACTGATAGCGACAGTTCTCCTTTATGAAGTAGGTAGAAGCCAGACTCAGTCACCCTCATATTGTGACTGCTCCTTAAATAGGCCATCTTCTCCTGTGTGATTAACTGCCTCTGAAAACCTGTTGAAGGGTCAGCTATGAGTTGGTTTTGACTCAATGGCACACAACAACAACAATGGTTATAAGTGGCTACTATGGATAAAGAGGAGGAGGAAAAGAGTGAATCTATTTCCATGAAGTAATGAGTATTTGTTTACAGTGATGTAATGGTTACATAACTTAGCAAATGTTACTTAAATAAACTCTTAAAAAAGGATTAAATGGCAAATATAGCATTATGTATCATTTTAAACAGCTAAATAATGAAAGGCAACAGTTGTTGCTACCACTTACCCATTGCTCTTTATCCACTTTCTTTAAAAAAGCAGAATGTATTTAAAGATTAAGGAATACACTCGTAGGTAGAAGGTAAAACTTTATTAAATTGGTTAGTTTTGAAGATTTAGAGTCATGGTTTTGTCAGCCTATCTAGTCAACTGGCCTAATATTTTTTTTTCTTATTTTTCCTTTGCATGTCCAATGACTCATTTATTTTTATTGCACTCACTATTCAATTAGTGTTTTACAAAATTATTAACTGGTACTCATCTGAATTGAAGAATTCTATTTTCAATAA